CCGTCCATCTCGCGGCGCGAAACTTTAAGAATATTTATGTATATATGTATAAAATGTGTATTCGAAGGATTTAAAAGACAAATGAATTCTTTCGCGCCTACAAGCGTCACAGTATCAATGCACCGCAGGAGTTGTCGAAAAAAATGACAAGAGAACTCTGTTCATCCTACGCGCCTGTCCCTTAAGACTTGCTGCATTTATAAAAGAAACTTCTCGCAAACTCAAACTTAACCATCAAAATCTACATATAAAAAAATTTAATCAATTGTGTTCGACTATTCTTTTACTTCAACTTCATTTTCCCTTTTCTTCAAAAAAAGAAAAAAAAACGTCAAAACATCACGTATAATATGTCACATCCCACAATCCTTAACTAACACCTCGCTCTTTCGAGTCTCATCGCACTCGCACAAACAATGCCTTATGGAAGTATATAATAATAATATTAATAATAATAATAATAATAATAATAATAATAATAATAATAATAATAATAATAATAATAAAACTGACTCGCTTGAAGTAAAACAATATATAAGATGTTAACATATGCTTATTTATCATTGCAGCTTCGTATTGAAATATCTCATCAGATATTTCGGTATGGATTATATTTATTACTAAATTCTCTGGTGCTGATGTTGCAAAGCCGAGAAATGATTTTCTCGGCCCTAGGCTCGGCACTCGTAACTAGAGTTCCAACCTGCAAGAGCCAAGTATCCATCTACCAACTCCGTACTTATTCATTAAATTCTCACCAAAGCGATGATTGCAAACATCACTTTTTCATTTAATCTCGGATGCCAGGTTACACTATTGAATTTTACTTATACACATGCGACCTTCTTTGTCTAATCTTAAGTGTATGTCGAAAAAACAACCGTTCTCTCCCACAATTTTTCATCGTTATTAATGAGTCATTTTTTAATATACTATCTGTCGCATGTACAAGGCAGCGCCAAATAATCTCACTTAATCACTCTCTATGTATTATGCGACCCTTAGTTATATTTCAATACACATTCACCGTTCATACGGTTCGATGAATAAGTTCTCCGGCGAGCATATTGTATAAGCGAATAATACTTATGTAGGCAAATTTGCCTATGAGTATGCGTGCACATGCGACGGCAAAAGTTCGCCCGGGCGCGCAAACGCGCGCGTCCCCCCATGAAAGTTTAAATAAAGGTGAAAAATTGTATATCTTTGTAAAGATTATACGTCATAAGTATTAATCAGATCTCGGTATCTATGGTGGGCGCGCATTCGCGCACGCACACGCACACTCACACATAAATACGCTCTCATCTTACGAGAGTTAAACTCTTTATATTCCAAACTGCTTCTGTACGCAGGAGAGCGTCCCAAAGGAAGCAGAATTATGCTTGGCATCCGAGTTTTGTTGCTTCGTCATCATATATAATGTCAAAATCGTTTTAATTTAGAAGCAATGCTTATTGATTTATTGATTTTCTTTTTATAATATTAATGGGGTAAGTACGGGGGTTGGGGGATGGACCTCGCGCGCCCTGCCGGCCAGGATTTTTTACCTCACACAACTCCCTAGTTACGAGTACCGACGCCTAGTCTTGTTTAACATTTGTCTTAACCTTCAAGGTATTTTCTCATTTGACAATGAAATGAAAAGTATTCGTTTACTTTGTCCTTAATTAATTTGGCAGTTCTCTCTCTTATACATGTTACACATTATTTATATCACGTAATCATTTATGACGATTTCGATACAGAATATCGCGCATGCCAGCCCGTTACTTTTTCCTGAAATACACATCCCTTTTCTCATATGAAAATAATGAATAACTCGTGTTACCTAGCAAGTGTCCTATGAAGAAAACGAGCGTTACTCGTTACACGGCATACCGCACACAATTCCCTTAACTTGCCCTTAATCGAAATCCCATATGTCTGTCCGTTAGATTAGCGATATTAAAAGCGCCACGCACGAAAGACGAATCACATCTACACGCGCTTATTATACATTGAATATCGAAGAGATGAATTTAATTAAAATTTTCCAATCCAGCAGTTTTATATGCCTGTCATAATTGTACAGTTGCGTTTTGCTATTATTTTCTGGTCGTTCTGGTTATCTCTTCTCCCAATTTCATTTGTTTTCGATTATGGTAACCTAATCACTAATACTTTATAAACTAGTTGAGCCTAAAATCTCTTGCACACGATGCTTCTACGTACAAAAAAAAAACATTTTCGCGCGCTTTTACTTACTTTCCTCTTATATAATCATTTAAAAATAGACACAAATTTATTTGTGACGTTAGACTTATTAATTAATTACGTATATTCCTGATCACGATTAAGATTCGACAAATGTGTACGTACACGTAACATTTGCTTTAACGGGCGTGCGTTCGCTTGAACCCGAAGCTTCGGTCGCGGACACGACTCTGTCAATATTGCCGTCAAACTGTGTAAAATATTAAACGAAACTTCATCTTATCGTCACGTTCGTAAAATAATTTCACGAAATTCGTGGGAATAAGAGAGAACGAAACATAACGTGAGGAACGTTGAGATCGGACGTATGCTCTGTTTTACGTATTATGTAAGATGCGCGATGATTTTGCGCCTTCCAAAGACAATTTTATCGAATGATATATCTAAAGGTGGGCAGTACAACGTTAAAAATAAAGTGCAACTTGGCGATTAATAAATTAAGTGTTAAGTCGAAATGGAGACTTCAAAGTGAACGTAGTCAAAGGTTGGATAGAAATGTATTTTAAAGCATTATAAAAAACGAGAGTGAAAAGTTGCCTTCGGAAAACGTAAGAAAAACGCATTTATATTTCCTAACATTGACCTGCTAAATTTTCTAATGTATTGAAATAGAATCGCGCGCCTACCTAATGGCCTTTTTTTTACAAAAATAATGAAAAGAATGAAAGAGTTTAATGTTCAGTATCGCTTCACGATAAGCGTTCTCCCCTTCGTCGCTTACGTCGTACCGGCATGCCCTTCCACCCTCTATTCTTAATCCGCCAAGGTCACGCGCCAGATATTACAGACAGTATCGATGCTGTCGAAGAAAGCTCGTGTAAGACCGATGACCCCAGGTCAACTCTATATCGCGAAATATCCACCCTCCGACATTGCTCGAATGTTGCAATTCCATCGTGGACTTGCTTTGACATAAAGAAAGGTCGCGAGATCATGGGCGCGTGACCTTGAGGGTTGAAATGATAGGTAATAAAGCATTAGGTGTCACACGCATGCGCGCACGGGGTAAACGATGAAGGATGATCGTCTATTGAGAAAAAGCGTGCGGACAGGGACAGAGGAGCGATAAACGTCAACAATCAATTAGAGCTGCATAGGTACGGAGATAAAAAGAGAAATGGTACGTGAAAGCAAAACAAATTCTTTTAAGTTTATTGAGACAACGTTACAAACAGATGAGTAGAGAAAGTAAACGGAGTGAATAAGTGCAAGTGTCAGTCTAAGAGGTTTCAAAGGTAACAACAGTGCAACATCGAGCTGTATTTTGATAAGGAATACGCCAATCGAAGTGCGCGATGACAAATCGATTGCTATCGATCTCAGCGCCTCCTACTCCTTTTGGCTTTTCCACGTTACTCGCACTACGGAAATGAGAAGTAAGAAGATAAGCCACGCGATTACGCAAATAAGTACGTAAACACGAGTCGAATGTCTAGTATAATACAAAATGGGCGATGCTTGCACATCCGTGAAAGGGCGGATCGATCGAATGCGGATCGATGCACCGAGGCGCGCGAGCGAACGCCCGTAACATTAGCGCTACATCAACAGAATGCACAATAGTAGCGAGCGCGCTTTCAGTCTTGAACAACGAATGGCCGTTAGAGAGTCGCGGCGACACGAAGAGATGCGAAATGATAAGAGAGAACAAAGCTGAGCCGAGTGGTATTGAGTTTAATAGCTGAGGATAAGAAGACTAGAGGCTGCTGCTGCTGCCGCTCAACGCTCGCTCCGTCCGTGTGGTTGCGCGCGGCTCTCGGGCCCCCAGGCCCCATCCTCCTCCTCCTCCTCCACCTTCTCCTGATCCTCCTCATACTCCTTATCCTCCTTATCCTCCTCATTCTCCTCATCCTCATTTTCCTCATTCTCCTCGTCATACTAATCATACTACTCATACTCCTCATACTCCTCTATACTCCCCTATACTCGCCATACTACTCATAATCCTCATACTCCTCATACTCCTCATACTCCTCCTCATCATCATCATCATCATCATCATCATCATCATCATCATCCTCCTCCTCCTCCTCCTTCTCCTCCTCCTCCTCCTTCTCTCAGTCCCCCGGGTGGAGCCCCGCGACGTCGATAAGTTCGGCGCGATGATACCCACGACCCCGCGATTACGAGCACGGATAGATGGCCGAGTGATAGGCGGCGAGGGCGGCGTGCGCGTGCGCCGGGGGCGCGGACGCGGCTACCGCGTGCGGTGAGCTCGCCATCGCGGCTGCCATCATCATCTGCTGGTGCGTACGCTTTAGGGAGTTGGGAGTTGTGGCGGCGCTACTCGGGGTCGTAACAGTGGTAGTGTTGTTGTTATTGTTATTGTTGCCGTTGTTGTTATTGTTGTTGCTGCTGCCGCTGCTGCTGCCGCTGCCACCACCGCCGCTGCTACTGCCGCCGGTGCTGCCGCCGCCGTTATTGTTGTTGCTGCAGCCGATGCCGTTGTTACTGCCGGCACCGCTAACGTTACCATTGTTGCTGTTACCGACGTTATTGCTGACGCCGTTGCCGCTGACGTTGGTGACGTTGACGCAGCTATTATTGTTACCGTTGCTGGGGCCGTTCGTTTGCGGCGACGGCTGTGGGGCCGTTTGGCTTTGGCTTTGGTTGCTCAGTTGCAAGGGGCTTGCGGTACTGCCTAGGGCGGCGTGGTGGTGATTGTGGTGGTGGTGATTGTGATGGTGGTGGGGGGTTATCGCGTCGTGCGGATAATAAGACGATGAGGTGGGCGAGGTACTCACGACGTCCGGCGTGCTGGCCCCGTCGGTATGGCTGGTGCTGTCGGCGGTGCTCCGGGGTCCGCCCCCGTCGAGGCCGTTGCCGAGCTCCGGGGGCTTCGTGCTCTCCCGGTCGTCGATTACGAGGTCGATCGGCATTTTGCCCTTTAGGCAGCTGATGTACCGATGGCAGAAGTTGTCGCAAAGCTCGTGCACCTGGAACAGATAAGCGTTTTTAATGTTAATGTGGGTTACGACTTCAACTTACGACTTAGCCTAGGACTCCCGCGGTACTTGTCGGCCCCTTTTCCTTCCACCTCGACGTAGGCCGCACCCCCGAAAGGGGCTTCGGCCGAAAGCGCCGGGTCAGATCGGATCGACGGCTCTTGCGCGCCCGGGACAAACGCGAGACCGACGACATTTTTATGATCGGAGACGGGGGGAGCTTTTTACTTGGACTCCCTACTTCGGCGAACGGTTCTCGCTCCTCGTAAGAGTCATTCTCTCCGTATAGTCGCGATTGTCATTCGAATTTTAGGCCTGACGGTGTATCTATACAACCGACTGACTCGTTCGGTGCTCGTTGGTTAGCGCTGCTGCCCTTCTCGCTCGGCTGAAACGACGGGACGCAAAAAATCGGGAGAGAAAGAGAGAAGCTAGAGGGACCTGGAGAAAAGACGTAAAGGAGAAGAGGAGCTGGAGCGCTGCATCAATAGCCGCAGCAACAACAGCAGCAGCAACAGAGGAAAGAGATGCGAAGAGAACTGAGGAGAGGAGGTCTGACCGGTGTCCAGCCGACCAGAATGTTATGTATGCAAATGAGGGCTGACAGGCCTATGGGATAGCCCCTTCTTTCCCTGCGCCTTTCCCTTAGACCAGTTCTTGCGTCTCTTTTTCTTCACCTCTCCTCATCTCGACTGCTCCTCCATTCTCTCACTCCCTCTCTCTCTCTCTCGGTTCATTTTTTAACTTTCTCTCTGACTTTCTCGCTCCATCTTTGAACACGAGCCCACATACATCGATTCTCCCTTCACCCACCCCGCTCACTCTACCTATTCGGCGGACGCTACATCGTCGCAACTTTCGGATCGATTTAGAAAAATATATTATATAAGCAAAAACAAATAAAAATCGTTATCTTGTTATATGTAAATCGGTGAACGAGCTGGTCAGAGCCGGCGTTATTATGATCGCGTTTACCTCCTTTATTTTCCCTATCTTTCCTGCCCCCTCCCCCCTCCTCAATCCTGTGATTCCTATATTCATCGAGTCTCGTATTTACGCGCGCACACATGCAAAAGCATGCGTGCTTATACACGCTGGTTCAATGTCGCTTTATACGCCTGTAGCCATTATATATTTGCATGCAATAGGGCAAACCGAGCCATTTTGAGGCGCTGACCAATAACGTCCGTCTTTCACTCGCTACCTCTTTCTTCCTCCTACCCTTTTATTTCTATTTACTCTCTCCTATGCAAGTATGTTCGCGGCTGTTACGGCCGCGACTACGGAGGAAAATAATTGCGCTTTTCCATACCGCAAGACCAGATCATAGTCTTGAATTGCGCATAAAGAATTCAGAGTGTGCCTTTACACTTGTGCCGGGATGTACGGGAGGAACTTGTTGAAGCTTCGGATAAACATCTTGTGTATGTACGAGACCTGGCTTCCATGTTCTTTGTACTCTCAGTAAATTTTTTACGAGTCCCTACGGCCGATGCGAGAGTAGAATGCAATTATTTGAATACAGTGATCCACCTGTGCGTAATGAAATATTTCACCTGGCGATGCTATTAAAGCATAACCGACAAAAGGTAAAAGTAAGGATGTCAATGGACGACGAAACTGCGAACGAAAAAAGCCCCCCCCCCCGCCCCGGGCTTACTATTCAATTTGGTTACATAAATTTAAAAAAGTAAATCTTAAGAATTCTCGAATATTTTTGTAGCATGAGATTATAAAGTTGACAATGTATCGACGGGGGGAAATGTATTAAGCAGGATTCCCAAGTTAGAATACTCGTTCGTCTTTGATAAAGGAATTTACGAGGAGAGCGCAATCGCGACGTCGTTAGTGTTCTGCAGACGGTTACGAGAATTCGGGGACATTTAAATGCCTTGGCATCGGATGCTGCACTCGTTACCTTCGCTCGAGCGAAGCGATGGAGCGCGACTGCATTTTTTTTAGCATCTTTTTTCCGGAGGCCCTTTGCATCGTCCTCCTCGTCGGCTCCGCGAGAAAGGGCCGAGAGAGATTTCCTCGGTCAGCAGATCGCCACGGCCCTTGTCGTCGCGGTAATACAATGCAGCGAAAATGACTAGACTCTTGTGACTTCGAACCGACGAGAGTGCGAGAAGGAACAAACGAAAAAGCAATAGAAGAGCCGAAGGACACCGGCTATAATGCCCAACTGGTTAGAATTTGATCTGTCGAGCAGGACTCGAGAGAGAAAGAGAGCGAGAGTGTGTGTAATGAGGCGATCGTGGAGGATGAAGAGAAGGACGGAGAAGAAGAAAGACGAACCGGCAACCAGTTGGCAATGTTTCTTCGAAAACAAGGGACGCGAGAGCCTCCATCGGCAATAGGATGGCATACATTCGCTAATAAATGTTTCACTTGAACAAACCTGCACGCAATACTGCAATTTTAATTGATCTTCGAAAATGTACTGTTTTCGCAGACGTACTTTAACGAAAGAGTCCGCCACTGCAGAGCCGTTTATAATTGCAATTTGATCGAATTCGATCGCTAGTCGGATCGATTGCTTTCCATAAAATGCCTATGACCTGCTATGGCGTATCGGACATTATTGGAGAAAAGAAAAAATAACAAATTATGAGAAATGGATATGAGACGGGAGAGGGATAATTTCAGGAGGGCGTGATCATAGGAATGGTACTTTCGACAATGAAAATGTCGCATGAAAGATGATCTATGGCGCAAAGGGCAAACAACCTTATTTATCTAGTAAAAAAAAATCAGGCGCTGTCAATAGAGAATATGTAGGTCAGTGATGGTGGCCGAATTAAAAATCTCAGTCAGCTAATGTGATTGTCCGGAAAGTTAAACACGACTTTTCTCTTCAAAAACACTTGGATCATTGCGGTCGCCTATTAAAATAAATCTAGCCCCCCGAGCCCATTGACTTAACGCTATCGAAAAGCACACAGAAGTGACGGCAAGAAGGCCATCGGCACACAGGGGTTGGATATTATCCAGAAGGAGAGCATGAGAGGAAGTCATTGATCAAACACGCATAGTCCCGAGGGATCGGTTTCGCTTCCGGGAATTCGATCGACTTTTTACCCTCCTCGTATCACGTTCCGCTGAGCAAGCTCGCGTTGCAGAAAATGGCAGGAAGAAGACACTGGCTCTCTTTATCTATTTCTGTCTGTCTCGCTCGCCCCTACGGCCGACATCATTGCCCTCGTAGTCGCGCCTCTATATTATAAATCGCGAAAGCCACTCCCGTAGCACAGACGCGGGGCGGAAGAAAATGAAAACTTCAAAGTAAGAGCGCAAGCCCGTATAGATTTTCGCAGTTACGATGTGTTATTCAACACCTTTTTTATCCTCCCTTGTTTGTCCTGTATCTCCTCTCGCTCATCATGCTATTATTCACACAGCGTTTTGACACGTGATCCCGATGTTTGTAGCACGCGCACATGACGGTGACCCTTGACTATGCATCGTTGTCCCGTATCACTTTCCACGTCATTTACAGTGTCATATTATGAATGTCTACATAATTCAGTTGCCACGAAATAATAGGAAACGGAGAAAATCAAAATCGAATTAATGAATTTGTTTGAATTGATTAAAAAATGTTTACGGTTTATATGAGCGATGGCTAAGTAATGTAGTAGCATCGTCACATTGACGTATTATATAGTCTCTTTATGGCAGGAAGCATATTACAATATGGATAATGTGCGTTCGGCGTTCGATTTTACGATTACGATTTTCAATACTTTGGGCGAAAAATTAACTGTAATTTCACTTGGCATCGCAATAAAGATTTCCCTCAAACGATTTGATCACGTAGATAATAATCTATTGTAAGCTCGCGTGAGTGTTTGCTTTTTTGCAGACAAGGGTTTCGTCATCATAAAACTACAAAAGCTAATTGAAACTGCCGTTGTATCCAAGCGCACTGGCACATATGTAATGCGCACAGGTGGCCCATCCGTAGCAGTCCATTCTAAATCCATTTAAAGTATTTCGCAATTCTATGAGATACATTTTATCGTAGAATCATGAACGTTCGTAAAAAATTATACCTAATATGATAAAATGCCTAAAATGCATGTGAAACGCATAATAGAGTCAAAATATTTTATTAAACGAGACGATTTTATCCTAGTTATATAAAAAAAAAAAAAAAAACAATGTCGAAGACAATGTCAATGATGAAGTTTGTTTGGAGAAAGACGAGTAAAATGTAAAAGGAGTATCAATAATCGCATTGTTGTTAATCTGGATTTCGATAAAGCATACGGCAGAAAAATGATTTAAAGAAAGGCACGTACGCGAGTAAAAAGGATTGAGTAAGCATTACGAGTGTATATAACTGTATATAAGATGTTGAGGACGACGAAAATCCTTCAAGGTCGCGGCGCTGCTCTTAAGGTATGGTTTTGGGAGGATGCCGAGTTTCGGTTGCTCCTCGAGCGGATGCGGCAATGCGCATCAGAAAAGGAGTTGGCAAAAAAGTTGAAAGGAGCCACAGCATCGGTTAACCAGCTAGATTGACTTACGTCGTGCGCGCATCGAGTGCCCTTATACGAGAAGACATTGTATGTAAACAGAAATGCGCGCATTATTTTTTTGGTCCGCCGCTGGCCGCGATTGACTCGTTAGATTCTCACATAACGCTATAGGCAATAAAAGCCTTCAAAGGCATGGAAAGAACGTCGTCTGACCGTCCGTCCATCCGTCCATCCGTCCGTCGGTCCAATTATAAAATTATTATCGCTCCCCAAACGGAACAATTAGCGATTAATGCAGCTGTAAATTTTTATGCCAATTATATTTGCCTGATATACAATGCGCATGGTGCTACGTTATTACGGTTAATCGTTAATTTAAAAGATTATGTGACGAATAATGGGGAAAATTCCGCGAATATAAATATACGTTAGCTCGTTAAATGTTCAGTATGTATGAAGCGGAGCACTTCTTTGAATTTGCCAGCATAAAATGACGCTTTCCAGGAGATTAAAAAAAGGGGACCAAGCAGGCACAGCGACACTTCCTGAGGCAGTGTCGCATGTAACTCGAGATTATTCCCATTTTATAGCCGATTTAACAAGCGAGAGGGTAACGTCACAAGAGTTTCTGTCGCGAACGCAAGCCCTACGTGCGAGCACTTTCAGTTTTATATTCGAGCATAGAAGTTGAGGCCGTCCCCTGTCTCACGAATAACAAGATGGCGCTTGATAATGCAAAATATTCTAAAGCATTTATAACGATGAACCTACAAACGCTACACATTATCGAGCGATCGAGGAATTCCTGGTTGCGGCAACGTTGGCTAAGTCAATTGAAAAAAAAGTTACACATTATTTTTTAAAGCTTCGACTATGGCATGGTAAAGACGTAGATGGGGCAATGTTTGGTCGTTGAAAGTTAGATTCGCCTATTTTCTCTCCCTCTCGTCCTGCAATCTCCTTGAAAGCATCCATTCGCGTAAACCGCACAAATCAAGGAAAGTCTTTCACTTACGGCTAAGATATTTCGTGATCCGCACGCGTGGAATTCGGTCGCGTTATAATCCCGAGAATTTACCAAAAATGTTTGTCGGAACACGGAAGCGAGAATTCGGCTGAACGCTCGCGTTTCACCGGGCCTCCACGAAGCCTCGGGCTTCCCTCGCTTTATATCCCATGTTATTCCACTAATCGCTTGTCTTCTCTTTCGTTTCTATACTCCGGGCAGGTGGCGGCTGCATCATATGAATTTTTCCAAACAGAGAACGACAAAAAATAACGTGGTACACTTCGCTATAAATACACAATAGGCCTTTCTCTTACAGGCTTCATAATGAAACTATTCATGCGTATGACTTATACATAAACGTGATTTTCCCTCTTATGTTACCGCAACTATTTTTACTCATTCAAAATCAAGGCACTCCTCTTTTAAAATTATATTCCATTCGTATTTGCGCCGTTTGCGAATTTCAACGTTCGGGCTATCTTAAACAACTCAATGTTTATCCGATTTTACATATCACTAAGATCACAACACTTAGACAAATAACTCGTAAATTTTAGTCATTACAGTCAGTCAAGGTCCTAGCCATTTCTTACGATAAATTACACTGACTTCTTTATCGCTTTGACAAACGAAAGGGAAAAAATGGCACTGATACACATCCTTAAGCTTTTCATAAGCTTTTCACGTGAACGCACAGATCGTTCAGCTTTCGGCAAGTCTTAACAATCACGGAACAAACGTCATCAATCAACTATATCGATTACGCGGTGCAATTAAGCGTTTGCAATGAAGACATCAGCTCGTTCGGACGTAAAAGGACATTTTTAGTCGGCTGTCCATCAAGAAGAAGGCAATTTTTACGCAAGTGACGAACGCGATGGCCGAGGGCGGGTGATGAGCGGTGATGAGGGGTCGGGGAGGGGGAAATCGGGAGATAGAGAAGATGGAGCGAACAGGACGGATCTCTGTTAGGCACCACTTATTTAACAAAAGTCCGAAGAAGTGCAGCGCGATGAAGATGCAAGCGTCGAGTTGCCGCTGATAGAAAAGAGGAGGACAGAAATAGTGAACGAGCGAGAAAAATGACGAGATTGGCTCGAGTGCTTAGAGAACCAGTTTGTTGCGTATTGCACGGTGGGTCGCGCACACAGCCTCCATGCCAAAGAAAAGAGGGTACAAAGATAGAAACTACGCGCGCGATGGCATGTGCTACAGTCATAATATTCTATAAGAAATTCACTGCTCGGCAACCAGTGTCGTGTCATCGCGCGTGCGTAGAATCTGGTCAGCCAAACTCGGCCCTTACGACCTCAACTCCTGGACGTCCTCTCAGTATTGTGACACTCTCAGAGAGAATGAGAGAGAGAGAGAGAGAGAGAGAGAGATCTGCGGAATTATGTTAATCAAACGCGATTGGAATAACTGCCGATTATGCAGTCTCCTCCGTATATTTTGTTAAGTTAAAATAGCTTCGAATGCACGGATAACCATGGAATTCTTGTCGTCGATAGTCGCGAGGACACATCGAGATGGATCCTTTTCATCTTCGCTACTCCGAGCCTATAGAGCTCTTATTATACAAAGGTGCCGAGGTCCGCGTAGGGATGTTGAGTGAGACGAAGTGAATTATTCGACCGCTTTGCATACACCAGTTTCACATATAACGAGAAAAAATGAGTGGCGCTGATGGGCAAAAGAACCACGTTTATTTTGTAGAAGAAATATCTCGACGTCGATGCTTATTTTTCAATACGAGCTCACGACTTCAATGTTTTCGTGTAACTCAGGGCAATTTAAACGGACTTGGAGCAGCAAATCGAAGAATATTAGTCACTTAATTTGGAGCGGTAAGAGATAAATATACTCGGACTCTAACCAATTTCGCTTGACCATTTCGCTATTATCGTTGGCCATCTCGCAGCCAAGCCACAATCTTTACAGGACGCGGGCGTAACCGAGTGCCAAGAATACCGATAGGTACATTTGAAAGCGTCCTCGTGGCAAAAAATGTATATTCGAAGCTACATGGAACATCGTCAAGGTACAATCGAATTAGAGTAGATTGCATGCCTAGTTACTTGTTTCTTTGCCCCGATGACGTATCAGTATAACTCTCGGCGAGGTGGCACACGCATTTTAGGGTCAGTAGAGCTCGCGCTGCTTCTATTATCGACGCGGTCATAGTCGGGAATAGAAAAGATGGCCGCCCCACTCAAAATATCGTCCCAAATAGTCGTAGTGGCGTTCTCGAGCGCGTTACTGAGTATGGATGATGGGTTACTGCCGCCAGCAGAGAAACGATGGAGGAATAAGAGAGAGAGAGAGAGAGAGAGAGAGAGAGAGAGAAAAGGAGGGGGATCAAATGCTCGTGCAGAATAGTTAAATTTTAGCCGGCGGGGATACCCTCCCTCCGTTTTCTCGAGTATATCGGCCAATAATCGGCCTTTAAATGAGGAAAATTGCTATAAAATTGCACGATAAACCGGCCCAACTGGTGGAACGTACGCCAACGTCGACGAGCGAACGAAAGGAGGAGAAAAGACGTTGGGGCCGTGGGCCTTATTTGCGCGCACGGGGTCCCGCTTCAATATTGGTTGAGTCGATGGCTGCCGCCACCGCCACCACCTATGTCAGCTGCCATTTCGATGGAAATGCGATGGATGTCCGCTATTTTGTATGATAAAATATCGCGGTAAAAACGCCACCCGAGGGCTACCTGTGCAAAGAAGCGGGCAGAGGGATAGAAAGAGTGAGAAAGGATACGCCTCGCTCGTTTACAAGATGGCCTAAATCCTCCTTGCTTCGCGTTTTTCTGGCCCTTCACACATTTTTATTCATTTTATCATCGGTTTATTTAACAGCCTATAACACAGGCCCGACAATTTGCATTTGCAAAACTGAAATGAATCTATTTATGACAGATTAAAAGATCGCCGATTATAAGCTTATTCTAAGAAAGATTATAAGAATATTTTTTTATATAAGAAAGTGCATTAAAAGTATGAAGATTGATGACTTGGGTTATTCCATGAATTGGAAATTACTAAATTTAAATACTTTTAAATTTTAATTTTAAATGATGGATTTTTTATTTTTTCCACAAAAGAAATGTTCATTTTATTTGAATTTAAGTTTTGATTAAAATTTACGGCAAAACCTCCATTTTCATAAATCATTTAGATTGTTTATTGTTGGAGACGAAATTTCATCCAGAAATGAAAGACAGGCAAATAAATACAATAATCGTGTATTTGAAATAAGGCGCGAAATTTTTCTCAGATTTTCAACTTTCATTTCTTAATGTACGTTCATAAGAAAAACTTATTCGTAAACGGAGTTGCAAAGAATAGGACATTTACAATTTTACATACAATCAAATAAGAATATGCAAAAGTGTGAATATGGAAAAGTAAGGGAGGGAGAGAGAGAGAGAGAGAGAGAGAGAGAGAGAGAGAGAGAGACGATAACGACCAAGCTAGAAATTGCGGAAGTTTCTTTAGTACTTTACCACCCATCGGACAGCTAAATCGTTTCGCTTAAAGCGCACCGTCCAACTAAAGCGTGGAAGAGAAAAGATCCAGAGCCGGTTAGGCTTTCACTACAATTAAGGAAAATTGCTTTTCAGTCGTAGCATGTTGTTTCCTTGGTGTAAAATCTATGATTCTTCCAACTGACACCGCGTACCACCAATGTATGTTCGAGTAACACCTTTGACGAACGCGGTTGTCATCGATTACCGGCAAGAACCGAGTTTCTCCAACTTATAACCCAACAATTATTACATACGAATTATAATATAAACGATAATATTAATACAAATATTATTAATAACAATAACAATAAAAATAACAATAATAATAATAGTTGTAACAATGCTTTTGATAATATTACCTTTTCAAGCTCGAGGAGGTGAAACCGGAGTACTTGGATCGCTTGAACCATCTGAAATTAGATAAAAAAAACGTGTTTAACGATCAAAGTATGTCGTAAAATTTTTATTGAAACAGAAAAAATTATATACACTGGTAACCTAAGTATTTTTGGTTTTATTAATTTGTGGTGTGTGTGCGTGGCCGTTAATACCAAAATGAACCAAAGTACAAGATTGTAAAATGCAAATCAGCATAGCGTGTACCACTTTCTGGGGTCAACTAAAAAATCTTTCACCAATAGACCATAACTAAAAGCTTTATAAGCATGTAAAATAATTTAATACACTGTAAGAATTTCCAGCGGGGTACGTGCATACAAACTTCTGAAAAGTTTTGCTTTCATTTTGTAACGGTGGGCTTTTACAGTGTAATAAAGGTTAGGCGAAGCGTTGGCCGTGTATCGCCGCATCGCAGTACGGAGTTTCCACGATGCAAATAAGCAGATTAGTTTGTTAAAATAATTATTATATAGCGAGACTGAAGTAAAGCGCGTGGCTATCGAGGCAAGTGTCGCATAAATCTCGCGTGACACTGGCAGTCGTCATTTCACACGAGCATATGACCGGGACATTCACGAAGTCCACTGCGGTCGTGCAGCTCGTCGTAAACAACGACGATTTTCATTATTTTAATTAATGGATAATGAGTGCTCGCACTCTCGCCTTTCTTCGACCGTGTCTTTCCCATTAAGTGACACATCCCGCGCATCATTATTAATTAAATGGCGATCGGGAGAAAATAGGGGCCTGTACGAGGACGACTCTATCTATTAATCGTATCCAATCGTTTATCAATAATATATACTCGATTAATATTATTCATTAGCCGTATAAATATTCAATTAACTAATGATAAAATCATACAACTGTCGTCGCCTCTAGATTTATTGACAAAAAAATCAAAATGCCCATACGCTTATTCCTTTACAAATGGAACAACTAAGTTAGAACTAAGACAACGGATAGTTACCTCCAATCGATTATTCTATTAATGAATATGTGAAAAATTAAGGGATTTTTTTAATTAACATTCTCCTCTATTTGCAGATGAAATATTATAAATTTTTCATATTCTAAATTGTATGTTAATTTTTATATGAAAATTAGCATGCCATCGTAATTAAGCTTTTTAATTATTTGGCATTTTTAACGGGGCTATAATAACATCTTCTTATATGAGTGTATGAGAAAATTCTTAAAACTATTTAATTGGTTGCAATAAAATTGAAGTCTTATGTTCTTATTGTGAATGATACATTTGAAGGCGCTTTAATCCAAACAATAAGTACAAAAAATTTATTTACATAATTATAGCTGAGACGATTTTTGAAACAAACGCGATATTACCGTCTTATATTTAACGATTTATACTTTATAAAAAATTTTTCAAAATTTTTAAAATTTTTCTTATCGATTAATTCGTATGTTTTGATTATCTTGAAAAGCAGTTGCTCCAAAAACCTATAAGCATTAAGTAAAATATATTCTGTGTATGCATTTGTTCAATCTCGGTAAATTGCATTGCTCTTTATCAATTATAGCGACATTCAGAAAAACCATCAAGTTAAAATGTGCAAGCTCGGATATATAATTCCTTAATACTTTTTACATTAATTAAGACAAGGGAGTGACATTACGCAGAAAAAACTCCCCGTATGTGGTGCAGCAACTGTCGCTTCTTTTCCACCTCTTGATAAAGTGGTGATTCAATTAAGCTAAGCGGTAATCTCAGTCATCAATTAACATTGTATTTATGTGACTATAGTCCATTATGAACCCACGGCGGTAGTAAAAGGAGCGAAAAAGCCTTCTCAATAAGTAGCTTTCGAGCAACAATCCAATCCCTCCTCTTGCATATTTTGCCCGTCAAAGTACAGCCATTGACACTAATGCTCTCCTTTTTTTTTTCTTAATTAGACATGTGGCGAAGAAGAGACAGATACCCAGGATCGAAAATGGAGAGCAAATTTATTTACCATCTTTTCGATATCACTATTTTGGCACTTATACTCTCAACAACAACTTAAATATTTATTATAATACAGATGAGATCTTAACGAATTCAAAGTGGCAATTACGTATCCAATGCAAATATCGGTGCAATCGTAATTTCGAGTTGGATGGTATTCTTTTCTTTAGCCTCGTACTTTTATTTTGTGATAAAATCAAGGAGTTCATTTTCAGAGGAGCGAATAGATGCTGTTGAGCAACTTTAATGACGCACGCGCCATAACCTCGGGAGAGAAGAGAAATTCAAGTGGACCAAATGGCCTAGTCGGCCAAACAGTCGATCACATTATACTAAATGGCGATAGTTAATATGGTTTAAGGGTTCGTCGTTTGCTAAATACTCCATAATCGAGACGAGATATGACTCTTTTCGTATTCACGCGCCTTATGAATGTCCGTAAATCACGAAACTTATTGTAATAATAATAATAATAATAATAATAATAATAATAATAATTATTATTATTATTATTATTATTATTATTATAAATAAATAAAGTCATGATTTCGATGCTCAACTATTCCCCCCAGTTTCAAATAACAGTCTTGGCACAGGAAAAGAATATACATGGTAATAATCGAAATGAGTACGTTTCAAAATTTCCAAACATAGACAATAAGGAACCATAATTTGACAGATTAAAATATACATTACGTTAAAATCGACTTGTTTAGCCAGGATATCGACACATACGGCAACAACTTATAAACTTACGAATTTCCGTACTAAAATCACCAATATAAATATTAACTATCGAACCTACGGACCATGTGTATATCTATATATATATATATATACAATTGTGACACGAAACTCAACGAACAATTCTTTTCACTCCAGTCGCTTAACAACTACACGCATCACTTACTGCGATGATTAATTGTACATTTGCCTCTTATCGTACGCATACTTTTAAACCCAATGTCAATCCTCGTGTAAGTGTGAAATAGCAAGCTTCTTTCTTCGTTTCAGATCCACTCAATTTCCATAAGATAAGAGCCGAAAACGTGCACGGATATCCTTATCGAGTTTGTAAAAAGTGGAAAAATAAATAAGGCTCTCTCATTCAACTAACAATCGGCTAATCACACGAGGAGCACAGCAGGACAATTTAGAACACCCACGACCCGTAGCGCCGAAAAGAGAGCGAGGCATCGCGCTTATCCGTGCCACATCGCGGCACAAAGAAGCGAAAAGGCTCTCGGACCCTCCTCTTAGCCGTACAATGTCCCTTCTATGTCCGAGACTGCATTCGTCTCGCTCCAACTTCCTCGGCTGTTCAACATCAGTTGGCACATGTTCCGCGTAAGGTCCCGGTCGGAGGCTCTCCTCGCGGGTTCTTCGCTCGTTCATCGCGCGTGATATTAATTAAGCGCGGCGACGATACGGACCGAGCGGAAAACGCAATAGCAACGAGCGCCACGGCAAGAGCGGAAGAGACGATATATCAGGATGAATGAAAGGGGTGAGACGTGCGCACGCACTTAGAGAAAAAGCGCTAGAGGATGAAGAAAAGGCGCGTGGAGATGGTGTTGTTTATAAGTGAGCAGCAACTGAAGTAGCCGCCGCCACGGTTTATATGCGATCCATGCACGAGATTGCGCACATTTAACACGAGAGCCGCAGATCCGCACGTCGAAGGAGATTAGCATCGTCTGGAAGTTTTCGCTATCGTCGATGGACCCGATCACCCGCGTCCTATCTCACAGCCACCACTACAAGCAGGATAAAGGTTGTATCGCTTTATGCCTGAATTTGTGGATTCTTTTGTTGTTGAGAGTAGGCTGCTTTCATCGATTTACGCTAGTAGACCGCGCGCAAAACTCGTCGATGATTGAAATGTAATTGCACGATTCTGTTGCTGCCATCGCTGAACCGAAAGTTGCACACGTGATCTTAATGCACTTTGGTAATGGTCTATTTGATCAAGCTCGAGTTTCTCATATTTCATTTTGTGCTTTGTATAATAATTATTTTATGCCTCTTCGAAAACCCATCGCCAATGATGCATGCAATTTCTTAATGAAAATGAGCGGACATGATCCACTGCACTCTTGGACAGCTTTCTCGCTCGTTTTTATACGTAGATGGAGGTAAATGCAGACGATAGATATTGATAAAAGTTTCTTTTTATCCCCCCTAAATTGATTGATAAATAATGAATGCGGGATCGAGCTTCTCGACGACTCTCGCAACCCCCCACCCCTCCCCATCAAACGCTCTTCGATTACTTTCAAGTCACTCGTTTTTGGATAGAATTTTTTTTCGCGCCCGGATATTCTTACAAAACTATAAGGCATCGTCGTTCGTTATTGCGCTTGAGAAGAGCCTTAATAATTAGAAGGATTAAATTTCGACGTATAAAATAAAAAGTTATTAAGCGAAATTGAGCACGCGGAGGAAAAGACACGACCAGCCATAAGGATGTCGAAAAAGCAAAGGCTCTATTGTTATCGGACAAGATAAACACATCTTTCGAGCGCATGAAAAATTTAGAAGACAAATTGCTTCGTCCGCATGCCGGCACGCGAGAAAGAGAAATGTTCATTTACGTACATCAGCCTCGAAAAAGACATGGACATCCGCTCTTCGGACACGATACGGTCGTACGGCATCGTGCGTTCTCGTACGAATGCCGCTAATCGTTTCTTTCAAAGCCCTCATGAATGACAAAGGATCGCGCATAATTAACAAGCGAGACGCCCGGTTAATGAAGTCATCGCGCTGTATCGGCCAAATTGCCGAATTTATATGCGCTACGTAGGTGCGCGCGAAAGGGACGCGAGAGACACGAATTGTAGGAGCCGTAAATCACGAGAGCATCGATAAGCGGAGCATGAACGGCCGCACGCCAATGCTATTCGCTCGTTAATAATTGATACAATTAAGGTGCGCTCGTTAAAGCCATCCGTACCACATCCGCACGTGCGCGCCCCTCTTTTCTACGACAATTTGATGGTTTTCTTGGACGCGGAACTCCCAAGTTTTTTAGCATTATAT